CTAGCCTGGTGAATTTAGATAATTTCTTCCATCTTCTTTGATGTCAGTAAGCTGCCATATGGACAGCAGTGAGGCCTACAGGAAGGAGGTGAGCTTTGGTCTGGGCTGCCTGTGATACTCAAAGAGATGTGAGCTGGCAGCCAGAGGCAGGCAGCACTTGAATGTTTCTGTAGTCGTTTCTGATGTGGCCAGTCCTGATTTTTGTCCGTGGTTTATTGCCGTGCTTGTGACTCTCTTAGATCATAAATGGGAATGATGAAATTCAAGAAAGAGAGGTAAAGCTTAAATGCGGTAAGAGAAATAATAGGAGAAGCAAAGAATACTCAAACTAAAATACAGTATTAAAGGACACCAAATGATTCTTATTTGATATTTGATCTTGTTTCCAAAACTGGCATTGTAATATAAAGGAGCTTCTACCTTATATCAAAACCCAGCCCTAGGAGCACCTGGGTAACTGGCTCAGTCAGTTGAGTGCCCCACTCTTGATTTACGCTTAGGTCATGACCTCAGGGTTGTGAGATAGAGCCCCCTCCCCACCATTGGACTCTGCGCTGGGTATGGGGCTTGCTTGAAATTCTCTCCCCCCCTCTCTCTTTCTCATCCTCCCTCCCCCTCTCTCCCTCTCTCTGCTCCTCCCCTGTTTATGTGCACACAAGCTTTCAAGCTCCCTCTCAAACAACCCAACCCTAGCTGTTGAGCCTTGAGATGTGAGTAATGCTGCAGAAAACAGGATCTGCTAGTGGAAGAATGTGGGCTCTTTGAAGAACATTAGCTCTTCCAGTTAGATTGATGGCAGGTTGTGAAGAAACCAGGAAAGATAGGCAGTGGACGGAACCAGAAAGTTATTTTCCCCTTAACTTTGTAATTTGTGAAATTGCAGTATTTCTGAAAAGTTGAAAGAGTGATACAGTAAGTGCTCTATTTCTTTTACTTAGATTTACCAGTTGTTAGCATTTTGCTACATTTGTTCTTCCTCTGTCTTCTAAGTGTGTGTGTATACACAAATATGTACACATACTCATAATTTTTGGCTGAACTGTTAGAAAATAAATGGTAGATACTATGATACTAAGATGTTATGATATTAAGTCATAATAATTACATACTGAGGAACATTTTCCTATTATTTCAGAAATTCAGTAGTGAAACAAGAGTATTATCCAATTGACAGCCCACATTTTCCCAAATGACCCCTTTTGTTTTTAATTTTTTTTAATGTCTGTTTATTTTTGAGGGAGAGAGAGAGAGAGCGCCAGTAAGCTTGAGAGAGGGAGGGGCAGAGAGAGACAGAGACACAGAGCAGGAAGCAGGCTCCAGGATCTGAGCTGTCACCGCAGGGCCTTATGCGGAGCTTGAACTCATGGACCACGAAATCATGACTTGAGCCAAAGTTGGACATTTAAGCGACTGAGCCACCCAGGCGCCTCATAACTTAAAAAAAAAATTTTTTTTTAACGTTTTATTTATTTCTGAGAGAGAGAGACAGCGTGAGCAGGGGAGGGTCAGGGAGAGGGAGATAAAGAATCTGAAACAGGCTCCAGGCTCTGAGCTGGCTGTAAGCACAGAGCCTGATGCTGGGCTTGAACCTATGAACATGACCTGAGCCGAAGTCGGACACTTAACCAACTGAGCCACCCAGGCGCCCCATAACTTTTGTTTTTAATCTGGGATCCAGTTAAGGATTGTGCATTGCATTTGGTTGTTAATTTTTTTTAAGTTTATTTTTTTTTAAGTTTATTTATTCATTTTGAGAGAGAGAAGCCATGCAGAGAGGGAGAGAAAGAATCCCAAGTAGACTCCACAGTGTCAGCACAGAACCTGATGCAAGCTTGAACTCAAAATCTGTGAGATTGTGACCTGAGCAGAAACCAAGAGTCATGTTTAACTGACTGAGCCACCCAGGCACCCCTCTTTTTTTTTTTTTTTTTTTTTTTTTAAAGAGAGTGAGAGAGCAAGCATGAGTAGGAGGGAGGTGGGGGGTGGAGAGAGAGAAAGAAAGTGAGCAAGAACATGAATCCCAGGCGGGCTCCGTGCTTATCATGGAGCTTGACATGACACTCAGGGCTTGATCTCATGACTCTTACTTATATCGTGACCTGAGCCGAAGTCAAGGGTCAACTGAGCCACCCAGGCACCCTGAATAGTATATCTTTAGTAGAGAACAGTGTTCCCTCTTTTTTTATTTTTTTTAAATTTTTTTAAAATTTTTTTTTTTTTTTAATGTTTTATTTATTTTTG